CAAGGTAACACGCGTCGAATGGTGTTTCCTATCAATATCACATTTTACAGTGTGCTACAAAGTATTGCACTTCGCGCAATTACCGCAATGCAACACCAATGTAATAGAACACTGCACATCACCATATCAGGGTGACTCCTACATAAGATCACCCGCAAAGCAATCCCTTCGTCGTATCCACAGCAGATGTACCGGAGGATCCAAATCTAGATAGTATTATTAAAATATTAAGAAAATTACTAAATATGTAAGTGTGTCTAATACGCGTTTAGTTTTGTTATTGAAGAAAGAAAACGGTAATCTTTTCGATATGTAGATATTGAAAAAACCTCAGCACCATTCTTGTCCTAAATGAAGGTTTTATTTAAATTTGAAGTATGACGAAATGCCGGGAGCCTATCTTATATTCTGAAGAAGAATTTGTCATTCAAAATTTTCACATTGAATGGGACTGCTGATTCTATAATATTTTTCATACATTTATTTGCACATTATCTTCTACTTGTTTCGTTTTCAATCATTATTATTACAGCCGTTCAAAGTAAAAGTCAAGTACCCTGCTGCTGTATGCCACTGCCATGCAATGAATGCCTGTATCTGTATCTTGCAGCATGTGTTGTTAAATCACCGAACGAAGAATAAAATTTATAGACACCTATAAAATATTGAGAGATTTAATATTCGTGGAGTATTCAAAAGTCAATTAAAATCAATTTGATTCTTAACCGAACTCAAAAAAGTCGGTAGTTCTTTTACTATCGAAAGAATAGTATACTTAAACAGTGGTACTATATAAATTTCTACTAGATACAGAATTAGTTAAATCGATAACTATATATTCTACCTAATCTTAACACATATATATATATATATATATATATATATATATATATATATATATATATATATATATAAATTACGTGTCACGTTGTTTGTCCGCGACGGACTCCTAAACTGCTTAACCGATTTTAATCAAATTTGCACACCGTGTGCAGTTTGGTCCAACTTGAGAGATAGGATATTTTTTTGCCTATGAGTGACCCACAATGTTTTTTTGCGAATTTTAGGATTTTAAGGAGATGACAAAGGGTCGTCGAAAAAGGGAGAACAACGTCTGCCTGGCAAGCTAGTATTATATATTAATTACTAATTGATCCCGGCGCGCGTTGCAATGACTTTTTTGTCGAAAATCTTCGCGGGCGTGCTCACAACAACTCTTTTTTTCAGGCGTAACATATTAATTTGCCTGGACTTTGTTATGTTCAGTATATAAAATGAGGATATTTATAAACAGAAACGTCGAATAAGTATCTAGCTATGTAGATATTAATTTGAATTTTTCTATTATTTTCATTTACAAATCGCCAACAGCTTCATTACAGTTTTAGTTACAAATATTGTTGGAATATTCGGTCTCAAACCGAATATTCCAACAATATTTTGGGACAAAAGAGGAGTCTGAAAATTAAACAAAAATTACTTAAACATTAGCGCCGGATCAGCCGTAGAGTTTGCATTTTAAATTCGTTATCTGCGGCTCCACGCTGCAAATGATTAATAAACCCCGGAAAGCCGTAACCCCGTAAAGCCGTAAGTATTATATTCGAGAATTAAAATATTTATTTTTGGTGATTTAAGCAAAGATTAAAAATATATGTTTCACAACTGAAATAAGTACTATTTTATTATAGAATACGGGTGACAAATGAGCACACAGTCCACCTGATGGTAAGTTAGTCAATTAAGTCTAACTTACCATCAGGTGAAATCATCAACAATCATCAAATTAGTCAATTAAGAATCATAATGCAGATGCGTTGTCACTCCTGAGGATTAAGATAGAATGCCGCGTTTCAAGTAAAAATTGTCTTTGGTTTTCTACACTTACCATACGAAACACAGTAGCATTGAACTGCTATTTCGCGCTGGTATTCTGTGAGAGCGTGGTCCTGCCGCGGTCGAGCCGACATATTCTTGGTACTTCTGCACGCGTACCGGAAGTTGAAGACGCTTTGCCCACCGCGCGACCTTCGTGTGACTGCGTCATCGAGCGAACGCGCAAGGATGATAAAATAAATAAATGACTAGAAATAACGAAAATTTTTTTTGTTCCATAATCAAATATGTTTGAATTTGATAAAATGATATATTGCTTTATTTTTTTCTCTGAATTTTCTGTTATTTAACATAACCCCACTGATATTTTGTACTCTCGGGAGTGATTCAAGGTCGCACGTGTTTAATTGCTTAAATTTAAAAGCGATTAAAGTTAATTTTTTATTTGATAAGTTTGTATTGTATTAAGTTACTTCACAGACATTCTCTACGTATATTTAGTTTAGTTTTATTTTTCTTGTATTTTACTTTCGCTAAAAATTACAATTTATGTCCCTCCAAAGTCGGGAGTACTTTGCAAGAACTTAAATTTAAATTTCGAACACTATTTTTGTTAAATTTTATAGAAAGTATTTAATGTGGTCCTCGTGCTTCGCTGGGTAGATCCTAATTTGAATGTATTCCATTTTAGTGCGTCATCAACATATCTTTTATTACATTTTATAGGTTATATAGACACTTTATACTCAAGGCAGCTGAATTACGTAAAATAGACGCTAGATGGTCTAAACATCAATAACTTGATAAAAATTGGTAAGTCTTGAATTCGTAATTTATAATAAAAGGATAACTTTATTTATTTAATAAATGTGTTATTTAGTTTTAATTAACTGTTTATTTAAATATTTTAATAGATATTATTTATAAAACTTAAATTCATATTAATGAAATTATATCTTTAAAGCGTGCGGTACCATACCGATACAACATGTACTCTACGCTAGCCGGTAGGTATATAACGAGAGACTTGAGCGAGTGACGACGCCCTGCTATTAGTAACTTAATAAGTTTTCTGCTTTCTTTCACCACCGTCATGATTAATTGACAGTGACACAGTTATGAGACAGTGCTTTGTGGAATACCTTGGGAAACCTTATGTACAACAATGGATTTGTGATGGTCTATAAAGATGATAGTAGTAATTCATTATACACACACATACAGATACCAGAATACCAGCGAAAAATAGCGGCATAATACTGTGTTTCGTGTGGTGAATGTAGAGAATCGCGAACCCTTATTATTGGATAAGAGACTTTCCATTTTCTTAGTTTTCAAGGGTGACAATGCACGTGCATTTTGGTTCTTAATTGATAAAAGATCTAGATGTACATGGCCAACAGCATCCACTTACTTTCAGGTGGAATGTTTGCTAGTTTGTCAACTATATTCTACAAAAAAAATAATAAGTTTCTCGTAGCGCTGTTGTTGTATCTACGATTTTTATCATGACTTGCGGCTATTGTAATGTCACAATATTTACATTACCATTTTGACGCCTAAAAATCCCTTGCTGTGCCATGCCGGCCAGTAAGCGCCGGGCTTTCGCCGTATCGATCCAGAAAATCTTTGGTTCAGTAAATTACAATTGCTTCCACAATAAAACAATGTATAACATGTTCGAAAGACAACTACTATATTATTATTAAGTTAGAGTGACAAACGAGCTCATAGTCTAGTCAGACGAATTATTCTGGCCATGGACACAAAAAGATTGGCAACTTGCAGGGCTAGTGCTCGCCGAAATTCCACTATCTGCGAGGAATCTGGGTACAATTCACACATTCAATAATAAAATAGCAATTGCAAAATGTTGATTTCACAAGTGCTCGACGGTGAAGAAAAAAATGTGAGGAAACCTGTATATCTAAATAAAATAATATTTATAAGACATGTGTAGTTCGCGATCAAGCATTGAGGCTGAGCGGTGCACATTTCCTTGTTCTAAAACCCTCTCAATAACGAAAAGAGACCTATAACCAGTGTGAGGAATATAGGCTGTAACATTCCTTCACTTTTAAAAACAAGAAAGCTAAATACGTAAACCTCTTACACTAAGATGTAATATTTCATAATCTGTAATTTTCCTGTTTTTACTTGACCTTAATTTACCCTTTCAACTAGATTCAATATTATGAGCATTGCTGCTTGTAGTATGATTAGGTAAAAGGGGTAGCTGCATATATTGGACGAACTGCTAGGAAATTAATACTTAACACAGAAATCAAAATAATAAGGCAATAGAAGTCGTAAAAGCGTGACTTTGTCGCCGCACATGTGAGTCGTAGGCCACAAGCGCGCGAAGAGCGTTAGTTTCGGTTACTAGTTTTGTGTCGGACGCAGAGACGTTAAAATGATGTTTTGAAGCATATCCAACTGCGGAAATTCTTCGACAACTCGCAAATTTTCTAATAAAGGGATAACATTTCATAAATAAGTACTTAGTGTTTTAAATAATGTTATTTTTAATGAAATATACTTAAATAAAATTATTCACCTCCAGTACTACGATTGTCTCCGAAAATGTAATTGTTTTCACATTTCAAAATACATTGATTCTTGAGCTAGATCATATCTACGAGTACGAAAGCTAAAAGCCGCGATGGATTTATAGTATGGGCAATAAACAAAATTGTTGCGTACGTAAATTTCATAGAATACGGCCGAAGGAGTCGAATGCGAGTCAGTTACATCAGTATTCCGCAAACTTTTTGTGTTCAAGGTACACCTAGGAAAACGAAAAAAATTTGAGGTACACCACAAATTAAAAAAACAGTTTTTAAGTAATATTAATCAACTTTCATTATTAATCAACAAACCTAAACTTTAAATTTCAGAAAAGGTATTTATTGCGAAACATGAGACTGTTTAATGTGATGGTCTAAATTTGGAGTAATCGCTGACAAGGCTGCTCTCATTTCTTCGTCGATCGTCCTGAGGCGTTCCCTTTTTTTGGTTTTTATTGTGGTAAGAGTCGAAAATCCTAATTCACTCAAATAGGTCGTTGCAAACGGCAAAACTATTGCAATAGCATGCGTAAAAAGCAGAGGATATTCATTTTTCACACATAGCCAAAAATGTTCTAAATCAGTTTCAGAAAATTTTCATTTTAATGTGCGATCCGTTTTCATTTCCATCAGTTCTTCCTGCTCATTTATTGGTAAGTGGCCGAAAGGAATGTTCTCGGAGAATGGATTTCGAACCCAGTCCATAGCTTGCAGATCACGCTTCGGGAAATAGAAATTCATTTTCTCTGCAAGAAGCTTTAAGTGTTTGACAATCAAAGCCTGCACCCTTTTTTCTGGATCAGCTGCCATGACATTTGGGAACATTTCATTATTACCATTCGTAGTGAGACTGATCGATAGTTACAATTTAGCGCGAAAGCTTTCAATTTTATCCGACGATATCAAAATATTGGAATTTCTGCCTTTTATTTTTTTTTATTGAATTCATTAAGTTAGCAAAAATATCCGTCAGATATGCAAGTTTTGCTAGCCATTCTTCTTTTTTAAATAAATGTGCATAATCTGAACCCTGGTACTGCAAAAACATCTCAGTCTCATTTTTCAACTTATAAATTCGGGAAGTACTTTGCCGCGAGAAAGCCATCGTACCTCTGTATGAAACAAAAGCGACATTTCTTGACACAGTGCATTAAAAATACGAGAGTTCAGCGGTCGCGACTTGATGTAATTGACGATTTTGATAATTTCTTGAAGAAGGCGCAATAGATCGCCAGGCAGAGACTTCGTCATAAGAGCTTCCCTATGTAAAAAAATGTAATTGAACATTAGGATTTTTTTCAGCAACCTTAGCTATAAATCCTTAACCTTTCCTGTCATAGCCACTGCGCCGTGTGAGCAAACACTTATACAGTTATGCCATTCCAAATTATGCTCATTGAAAAATTAGTCCGTTACTTTAAATATTTCTTCACCAGTTGTATGGTTAGGCAGTGGCAGACAAAATAAAAAGTCCTCTTTTAATTCACATCCATCAATGTATCTAACATTTCAGATGAGATGCGCGTGACCACTGATGTCAGTGGACTCATCAACTTGTAGCGCAAAAACTCCACTAACTCTCAATTTTTCAATCAACGTCGATTTAATGTCATTAGATATGTTATTGATTCGACGTGAAATCGTTTCTGCCGATGCATCATATTATCTTGACAATTTCTTTGCAGACAGGTAAAACTACAGTTACGGCAAGAGAGTGCGACTTTTTAGCTTTAACTAATATATTAGCGATTACGTAGCTTGCTTTTTGTGCTGTGTCTGAGATTTTGAAAGACGAACTCACGAGATTTACCTGCTTCTTCGATTGGTCCTTCAAACGTTGAAAATACGTTTTGTCTTTTTGGGCTACTGATGGGTGTTTTTAGTTAAATGTCGTATTAGTTCAATAGGCACCATCGAATTATTACCCAATGTTTCTCCGCAAACAAGACATTTTGAGGTAGGACAAGATTCGTCTCCGCAATATGTAAAACCGTAATTTATGTAGCTTTCGTCATATTTTCGATGAACAATTTTGGTTTTTTTTTCATTGACTCTTTTTCTTCTTCATTACTTTCACCTGACAAACTTACACTACGTTTAATGAATTTATCCATTATTTTAATACTTATTTAACGCTTAGAATAATAAGCATAACAATACGCGACGAAACAAAGTGGTGAATTTAAACGGCACTCTCGTATTCATACTAGGTATGTCGATCTAAAATCGATCAATCGAAAAATCGATTCTTTGGAGCAAAATAATCGTTTCGGTGCACCGCATCGATTCACTGAATCGATCCAAAAACCTCTCGGATCGGACCGATTCATCTGATTCTAGAACCAGCGATAAAATTCCCAAACTGGCTGGGTTAAGATACCGCAGTTTTTTAATTTTTTGCTGTTGGGGAACGCAAAACAACCGATCTTACTTGGTTGATAATTTGAACGCAATATACAACACGTAACATAATTACCGCACTTTGAGAAAGTAGTTTGTTCAGAATTGTTTACTGAATCGATTCCTATCACTTTTAATATAGGTAATTTTTTATCCCAAAAATAATTAAAACCGTAAATTACAGTCACACTAAATCTGTACAGTCAAAACAAACTGAAATGGACCGTAACTTAAGGCAATAAGACTTATAAGAGTGTAGTTTTATTTGTATTATTACTAATTCTGTCATTCAATAAAAATAAAGAAAAATGAACTTGATTTCAAGCACGTTAAATTCTTTGCGTTCGTGGATTTGTACTGTGACCACAACATTCTTCCGGAGTTAGTATAACTAATTTGATAAATAATCAATGCATAAAAATGTTTAACTAAAAATTCCGTATGTATTATGTTTATAACATAATATACTAATTCGGGTGTCTGAGGGTGTGCGTTAATTACGTTACATATTGTATATTTGAATAAAATAAATATTTATGAACGCATCCAACAATATCGAAAAGTTGTTATTTCATTTTCATTTCTAAATTTCTAATTCTATTCTTACCTGTAGAATGTTGGTCTAACTTAATCTGTGCTTTGAACAAAACTACATATACATACTACAATTTAATATTATAGCTGTGAACCTGTTTGAACTGTGAACTTGCGAATTTACTTTATTATCAAAAACATACATACTGTGAGCTGTAAGTACAGACGGAGTACTTTCTATATATCTAGACGCTGTAAATAAATATTATATTATGTTGAAGTTTATAGAGGCTTTTAGTAAGGAAATAACCAGTATTGTGTTCGTGTAGCATTCATTTCAATTTAATAAATAGTGAGTTAATAGATTGAAACAGATTGATCGAGAAATGTACGTTGCAGTTTGCCCTTTTGTTAAAAGTATTGTTGTTGTTTTTAGCCCAAAATGTCAAATAAAAGTGATACATGGAAACACTTTGTAAAAAAAGGGATCGAGTGGCGAACCACCTCTAAAACAAGCGTTTCAAGCGTACCAGGAGAGTTTAAAAGGAATATTAGTAATTTTAATTAATAAGATTACTAATATTTTAATTTCAAAAAATATTGAAGTTCAATTAAAGAAAAAACCGGAAATTCTTGAAATTTCATGTTTGAAAGTGTCGCGATTAATCGAAAATAGATCTTTTAATCCTCGATTTAATCGATAATCGTCTATCTTCTTCTCGATTCAGAGATCGATTTTTTTAAGAGTGAATCGACATGCCTAATTCATACTGACAGACTGGTGTGCCAGAGAGTTAGGGTAGCGGGGCGGGTAGCCTCGTCCCCGCCTCCCGCGACGCGCCGGCCGCCGCCGCCCGCGCCTAACGAAACCACAGAATTAGATAAACGAAACAAAACGCCTCGCTCGTGCGCTCTCGTAATTTGTGTAGGTATTTTACTTACCCTTACTTACTAAAAATAACTTAATAAGATAATCTTATTTTTCCACGGCACACCAACTAATGATCACGGTACACCAGTGTGCCGCGGTACACACTTTGCGGAACACTGAGTTACGTGACACTACTATTTTAAATCGACTATTTATTACGTTTGGCTTACCTAGTTTTACCGAAATGGGAATGAAATCTGAATTTTCGTTAAATATTTATTTACACCTCTATTTTTTTTCTCTTTCTAAATATTTTATACATTAGCCGTTTATAACCGTTAGCCGTTTATCAGCGATTATCTGTTTGTTCGTACTTTTAAATTACTTTATAAATTTTTATGCAATTTTAATATATTGTAAGGATAAGTAATTATATTTTAAGGATATTAGACTAAATTCGATCTGTAAGAAGCCGGGCAACTGAAATATAACAAACAACAGAAAGTCGGTTACAGATCTTTAAAACTAATAAAAAATGATATATATGTTACCCATACATATATAATTGATTAATTTGCTGTTTGTATAATGTTGTATTCATTTTATTTATACATATGTTTATTTAATAAAATGTTATTATTCCTGGTTTCCAAAAGATCTGGATTTAAAGATAAATGGATATATTAATCCTTAACGTTTTATTATATTCCCTTTTCTCTAATAATAAAGCGTCTATTTCTGAGACATTTTCGGTTAATTAGTTATATCTTGGTGTGAGACTCCTGGACGATCAATGACGCTTAATAGAAAGGTATCGAAACGTGTGTTGCGCTGCACTATGCCCAAGTGAGAGTGAGCGCGCAATGTCATTCTCTGTTTTTCGCGCACGTTAATTATTGAACCGAGTGGTTGCACCTCCTGAGCTTTTGCGTTTTTATAAAATATTCCTTAACGAAATAGTTTATAGTTTAATCTTTGATGCATGAATGCTAGAGACATGTGTAGACGTAATTGTATTTATTGTTTGTCTATGTGTGAGAGCTCTGAACCGGAGACACACGTCCTGATATTAAAAGAGTAGAAGGCATTTCTATTACCTTATTATTTAGATTTCTGTGATACTTAACTATAAGGTAGTGTTAACACCACATTTTAAAAGTTATATATACCTATTGTTACAAATAAATCTTTAAATCATTTCAATTTCATCAAAAAAGAATCACTTAAAATAAAAGAATATTAATCAGTAGCAATTTTTTTACTACCTACTATAAATTATTCTGGAGGGTAATTGTTAAAAATAACAAAAGTATGAGAGCGGATGTACTACTTGCTCTGTTGCTAACGCAATTAATCATAATCAGGAACTGCACTTCATATTCAGCATAATAGAGCAAATACAGTTTGACCAACCGCAATATGTCTCCGTCACAATTACACACTGGTGTAACGTGTAGGACGTTATAACAGGATAACACCAAAGTACGCAAGTCAACAGCAGCACTACCCATCTCAATGTAACACCGGGCAGCCTCTCAGGAACATAATTACATGATAACACCAAAGTATGCAAACCAACAGCAGCACTACCCATCTCAATGTAACACAGGGCAGCCTCTCAGAAACATAATTACATTATAACACCAAAGTATGCAAACCAACAGCAGCACTACCCCACTCAATGTAACACCGGGCAGCCTCTCAGGAACATAATTACATGATAACACCAAAGTACGCAAACCAACAGCAGCACTACCGATCTCAATGTAACACCGGGCAGCCTCTCAGGAACATAATTACATGATAACACCAAAGTATGCAAACCAACAGCAGCACTACCGATCTCAATGTAACACCGGGCAGCCTCTCAGGAACATAATTACATGATAACACCAAAGTATGCAAACCAACAGCAGCACTATCCATCTCAATGTAACACCGGGCAGCCTCTCAGGAATATAATTACATGATAACACCAAAGTATGCAAACCAACAGCAGTACTACCCCTCTCAATGTAAC